GAATCCTTCACTCTCTCTTCTCCCGCGGCCTCCTCCGTGAACATCCTTCACCCTTCCATGATTCCACCTACCATCCACACCTGCCTGTTCCCTGCATCGTAGTTTTCTACTCTATATCCCAAACAAAACCTAGATTTCTCAACCTAAGATCACAAATTCAAATCCACACCACACTTACACATGAAACTTAAAGTTTACCATACCTCCCATCTCCATCTTTCTTCCTCCCGTGGCTCGAACTGTCCGTCCTCTTTCTCCTTCTCTCTTTTATCATTCCTCCCTACTCCAGCTCCTCTGTCTCTCTCTTGAACCTTCTCTTCCCCCCGATCTCTCTTCTCTGTTTTCTTTCTTTTTTTTTCCTCTTGTTATTTCTTTTTTTTTTCTTTCCCTTCTCCTATTCATACCCCACCTGCCTCTCATCCTGTCCGTCCATCTCACTTCATCCCAACTGTCCACTCTTTCTTCTCCAAACGACGTCGTTTCCTCCTCCTCTTATTCAAACGATGTCGTTTCCTCCACCTCTTTACCAAACGGCACCGTTTCCTCCAAACGACGCTGTTTCCTTATTAAATATATTTTAAGTGAATATTCATTTATTTTATTAATTACATAGTATATACAATTAATTATAATATAATTTTATAATAAAAATACGTATAATGAATATTTTAATTCATACTCATAATTTCTTATGAAGCGAGATAAGTAATAATAGTATACCTAAAGAATAATTATTAATTATTAAAAATTAATATATAATAACAAACGATTTCAAAAATTAATGTTATAAAATCAATATTATCTACTTATAATAATGTACTTGTGGACTAGAAACATTTAAAAAATAAAGAAAAATTTACTCAAATAACATGAATTTTGATGTGTACATAAAATAATAAAAAAAACTAGGTTATAGATATTGAGATATAAAAAATATTATATGTATAGAATGTGAAGAAATTAAATTATATTTTTATTCTAAAAAATAATAATAAGATAAAAATATTATTTAAAGGCCCAAAATATTAGTAAGAGACTGAGAGAGAGAGAAATGTGTTGATCCATAATAATCCAACATTGGGCCGGTTTTATGAAAATGTTCCCTGTCTTATTTTGTTGGACCAGCTTTTGAAATTTTTTACATATACATATACATATATATATATATATATGAACGTATACATAATGAATATTATGTGTGTGTATATATGTATTAATATAAAAAAAAATATTTAATATTTTATTGCTAAATTTTTAACAATGGTTTTTATTGGGTTTAAGATCCTACTAATCACATATTTTTTATTCATTAAATTATGATTAACAAAATTATAATTATTAACTAATATTTTATCTTAATAAATTATTACAAGTTTGATAAATAAATATTTCGGGTATATTTTATTATTGAAGTAATCATAGGAAATTAATATCATCGTAATTTTTTTTTTTTTTAAATATTGAGTTGCATAACGAAATTTTTTACTTGTTTTAGTGTTTTTTTTTTAAGTATACATATATATAAGAATGTATACATAATTAATATTATATGTATGTATATATACACAAGTATTCGTGTGTGTTAGTATGAAAAAAAATATTTAATATTTTATTTTTAATTTTTTATATAATGCTCGAGTGTGAAAATTTGGTTCAGAATAATTTTACAATTAATAAAATAATATATTAAAATAATTTAATTTTTATTCTATTTTAATTTTATGAAATTTTTGAGAAAAATGGATATAGGAATAAAATTGAAGACAAGTTTAGAAAAAAAAAAAGGAAACTTTGAATAAGGAGGAATGCTTTTGAAAGAAAAATTCAAAACATGGGGTAATATAACAATCCGTATCCATAAGGGTCGGTTGTAGCTCGTACAACTACCATTGTTTATAATGTCATATATGAGAGGGATTTAATAATATCATTCTGATTCATAAATCTTATTCAAAGGGTAATTATTTCATGTATCCTGAATCAAGTAAATATATATATTCATGTTTCACATCTCTACCAAGTTGTCTCTGCAAGAAATGATACACCTTTTAACTAAAATAAAGCGCAAAAGTGCAAGTATTTCCTCCTATACACAATAGTATCGATCATACCCTACAACCAACTCTCAATTATTCAATCTAGTTAATAACGAGGAAGGTCCTTGCAAGTGCTTAAGTTTGGCGGCATGATTGTTGATCTTCTAGTTCTTATTTCTCGTTTTACATTCTCTGAAATTTACAATATAATGAGCTACATTGCTCAGTAAATAGAATATACATATCACACCAAAAAATTGGAAAGAAAATATATTACAACTAAATGTGGTTGTACAAGCCAGTGCTCATTTAATTTCCTTGTTAACTTTTGTTTTCGTAAAACAAAAGTTTGTTATCTTTTCACTGAGATTCCTAACTCGTCCGATAGGTTTCCAAAGTACTCCTTTATACCCTTCAACCCTCTTTTATTTTTGTTTCAGAGTTCTGTTCAACTTCTATAAATTTAATTCAATCCACTCCACCTACTTATAATCCCAAACACCTCCTCTGTTATCCCTAAGTCTCCTTCTTGCATAACTTGTCAAGTTCCTACTCAGCACTCTAACTTAAATGTCTCCATCCTTTTTTCTAACTAAATAACCATATTGACTAGTCTATCTCCTTATCACCATAGATGTATCTTGTACCTACAGAGACCTAACTAGCCCATATGCCACAATCCATGACATTCATACAATACTCTACACCTGTATACAAAATACTTTGATCTTAAACACATGCAGAATCATACCAACTGCATCAGCCCCAATATATCCACATCGGTTCCTCACTATGACCCAGTAGAAAATGCAATAGTAACAACCCTAATTGATATCCTACTAGCGCAGTCAAACCATATCACCCATGTACACACCAACCTTCACTCAGCCATACACATACACGCACACACTAACACAACCCAACAGCCCTCACTTAGCCACACACGCACACAATAACATC